CCCCCCCGGGGAGCCCCGGCGGAGGGGGGGGGCCTCTCCCGACGGGACGCGGCCCGGCCGCGCCTCGGGACAACGGCGTGGGGAGGGGGCCGGGGAAAGGACCGGGAAAAAAAAGGGAAAAAGGACAAGTGCTGCTGCTCTTAGCGATGTGCTGAGAGAGACCGCGCCTGAGTGTCGCCCGGGACCTGCTCGCCCTGCAGCTTTCGGCCGCTGCTGGACGTGCCGGCTGCGTTCCCGCTCCGTGCAGCCAGCACGTGCCCTGAGCTGCCCTAGGAGCAAAGTCCTGCTGGAAAGCGGAGCCGGAGCCGGCCCTCCAGCCTGCGCCCCGCGGCCACCATCCCACAACCCAAGCGTGTGCCCGTGGGGACTGCAGGGACGCAGGATCCATCGGCGCAGCGGGGAGCTGCGTTAGTGTCTCAAAGCTTCCCTGCTCCTCTTACTTTGCTACATACTTCAAAAACTCTCCATTCAGTTTCCTTTTCTTTGAAGCTCTTTAGTTCCGATCTTGTAAACAGCTACAGATGTGCTTATCCGTGGCATTTAGTCCTCCGGAGTCTATGGGAATACATGCTGTACGTCAAGTTAAGAGTGTACATAACAATTTGCAGGATTAGGACCTTATTTTCCATAGGGAGAAAAATAAAAAGCCACGGAAAAGTCCTGCACTTCTTTCAAAAGCAAAGCAAATCTGCACAGATTCATGAAAGAGGATGTAGTGGCCAATTTATTTTCTGAAAGAACGCCTGATTTCTATTTCCCCTGAATCTGCTACAACTTTAAGAAATGTTACCTGACTTTGCATGGTGATGCAGAATAGGAATGATCATTTACTGACAGTGGAACCAGTTAGGGTCAGGAATATAGAGAGATCTGCCCTCCCTGGAGTGATCTGAGCCTTTGTTTTAATCTTGCAACGCAGTCTAACTAAAGCTCACAGTCTGAAGCAGGCTTCAGCGTGAGGATGTGATACACTTGCTAATTGTGCTTGTACGTCCTAGAAGGGGCTCTGGCTTCGCTCCGTAACGAGCGTTCCCACATATTTCCTGCAGCGTTAGTCGGCTACCTACCTGCTATAATAGGGCAAAGAACAGAAACATTTCATTATCTGAAAATAGCCATCATTATTTGTTGACTGAATTTCGAGGCAAAAAGGTTGAAAACTATTGCTATGTGATTTGGGGAAAAAAAAAAAAAACAGACTGACACTACAAAATAACATCCAAAGCTACAGGTTTGAAAATGTCAGTTTTTATATGTTTCATTAAACCCCTTAAAAGTGGACACAAAAGAAGTGCCTGAGTGCTTTTAAGGTTTTGCACGCAGGCTGTCAGTAGCAGTCATCAGTAGAAAAGGCAGTGTTTGCCTCTCTCTCTCTCTGCAATGGTTTTTAAGTTTATATGTTTGTTCCCATCAGCAGCCCAGGGAGACATTCAGGCAAAGATGTGCTTCGAGAATAGAAGTAGACTGTAATAAACCAGAAGAGTTTGTCTGTCATTTACAAGCATTTTTATTAAATCATACCTTAGTAATATTTTTAATTGAACACAGCGAGCTCAAGGCGGTAGTTGCGTGTTTTACAGATGAGCATTTTGGTGAAGCCTTCTCGGAGAAGCGGGGAGTTCCGTGGCAAGCAGTTGTTTGCTAACTCACCGATTCTGCCGTGTTGAAGAGAAACGTTACAGCTGCATGCGGGAGCACAACGTTGTTTTGGCCACCTCGCTGTTGAGGGAACAGAAACACGACTCTCCCAAAGCCAGCTGAGGGAGGCAGCCACAGAGCTCAGCTTTGGCCATATTCATCTATATCTTGAAGGGACAGTTCTGGGGAAAGAGATTTATGGTTCTTGCTAGTAAGCAGCTGAGAGGCTAATCCCATATAAGCCAGGTTAAAACAGCATAAACAGCCAAAATGCCCAAGCGAGGCACAAGTGAAGCGAGGTTGGTTGGTTTATATTTGCCTCCGACATTGGCTCCATTACTCAAGCAAAACATCAGGAGGTTTGCAGCTCCCTTGGGATCCTTGTTATTCTGAAGACTTATGACAGGAAGGTGCTGCTAAATCCTCTGTTAAACTCATGTGCCAGGACTCAGCTGTCATGCTAAAACTGCACTAAACCTCTTCTACATGTTCCTAATGATGTATTTCTAAAACGTAGCTTGACCACATGCAGATCGAGAGGGGTAGTAACTTCTCAGTTTGTTCTCAAATGCTATTACCTGAAAGCAGTTCCATGTACAGATTGCTATGTTTGGCTATTTAACATAGAAATTACATGAGATCAGAAAGACAAGAGGCCCCCAATAAAATCTGTATGCAAATTTTGAGAAAAACTGTTGGCTGTTCATTTTTTCAGAGTTATAAGTGTACACATGGATTTCATGGGAAGTACCACTGAAGGCTGCAGTTCCTTTGGTCTGTCTGCAAACAGTGTTGGAAAAGACATCAAATCATGGATCATTTCTGCAGCTAAATCCTGATAATGACTCCCAGTTGTTCAAAACTTCCCTTAGGCCATCAACATCTTGTATGCAATCACATTTTATGTTGTTATAGGATAGGATTTCAGTTGTACAGAATAAAAGAGCATGCCTCACCTTCACTGAATTGCTGCAGAGATGGCCCTGCCCAGACAAGTGCCAGAAGAAACATGGATAAACTTCAGGGAAAACAGTTTCCGATTTCTTATCAACTGGTCGAGCAGCCAGCAAAGAGCTGATGAGGGACCCCAATAGCACTGTGACTTTATACTGTTAAGACTGTACACAAACCCCACACAGTAGTCACACTAGTGCTTTACAGTCTTGGCAGAAAAGCTCTATAAATGAGCAACCTTATCATATATCATGCAGCTGGGTGCAGTTCGTCCAAACAGAGGATCAGCACATTACAGCTTTCATGGGCTACCTAACTGCTTTTTCTCTTTTCATCTGTCCTTTATTCATCTGGGTATATCAAAGAGTTACCAATAGACTTTATTTTACTGACCTCACACACACACACACAAAAGCCATAAAGGATTGAAAAAACATCCTTCTATGCAAAGGCCAGGAACAAGTGCACCCATGAAATTGATACCAGGAAGAATTACAGAGCGCGAGCTCGTGGGCCCCCGTGTGCCAGGGACCCTTCAGCCAACACACATCAGAGCTGCTTCCACGGCACAGCCGCAGTCGGGCATCACTGTGCTCCTAGTTGGGTTTCTCCTTGCACACCTCAGTGATACTCGTAGCTCTTCATCCCTTCTGTTTAAGTGCTAAAAGAGAGCATATAGTCTACTAACATTTTGGCCAAAAACACTCCGATAAGGTTTCGTTCTGTTTTTAATGGCAAGCAGATTCTCATAACCCCCCTCCCAGGAATACTCCCCAGAGGATTGAGACGTACTTCCCACAAACCCAGCTGTCAGAGGCAGTAACTTGCAACTGCCCTTGGGAGCAAGGGGTCGCTGGGGACGGCTCTGTCCCAGCTACAGCAAGTCCCTGCATTCGGCGAAGCCAGGAGATAGTTAACAGCCTGGGGCCTGCTGGCTTCGCAAGCTTTTACTAATTCCCCAAAGAAGGGCTGCTCCCCAGCGGGGACCGTTCTCTCCCCTTGGGGCTTGCAAGTGGGCTAAAGAGAGTGGATCAGGACACTGAGCCTACCCTTTATTTATTTATTTACTCTTTTTTTTTTTCTTCCAGAACACATTTTCAGTAACATGTCAGGTTTAACATATGGCACTGGTGAATACACCTTCTGTTGGGTTTGAAAATTGCTGCTGACAAAAAAAAAAGAAGAAAGCGATGAGAAAGATCTTCTGTTTAAAAGACTAAACACTGGATTGTAAAACAGACTGACATGCAGTGATTTGTGCTGACTTAAATATACCAAGAACTGGAGTTTCCCTTCCATAGGTCTCCTCTGCTCCTTCACAGTTACAACCTCATGCTGCCTGTATAAATGACCTTGCATACTGCCTGAGTCCAGTGGCCTAAGCACAATTTATATATTTAGCTTCCAATGAGGGATGTGGGTGGCCAGATGACTAGATACAGCTCCATCCTGGACAAGTTCCATTTTCCTATGAAGAAAAAGGCATAAGAGGAGAGACATGAGAGCAAAAGCCATGGTGCTGCACTATGCTGCAGGTAAAGTCCTCTACAGTGAGAAGCTGGAAGCTCAGGACAGGCCTGACCCCCAGTACTCTGGATCTTTCTCTTCTCCTCCTCCCTTCTTTTGCTCCTACCCTCACTTCTTGGTTTGCAGTTGCCTTTAGAGTAGGAAGCAACCTCTGAGAAGGCACCTATAAGGTGCTGCATACACACAACATCAACACCGAAGCTGAGTCACATTTACCACCTGTTCTTTCTCATTGCTCCTGTTCTTTGAAATGATACTGTCACTCTCTTGCCATGGAATTTTCTTCTTTTCAAATCCTTTTCAATCATTTTAATTCTATTTAATGCTGTCTTAATAAATTATGAAATTTTAACGCCTTTTTATTACTTAAAGCTAATCTGGTTTTAGAAATCTACATTTATAGGAGAATGAAATAATGTTTTACATTTCCAAATTAGATGCCAGAAATGTGTTATTTTCCCCAGATATTCCATTTTCATATGTATCCATGTCTACAGCCTCACAAAATGGAAGTGTCTTTTTCCTTTTTTTAAACAAATCCTCTTGAAAGGTAGGTTGGTTGGTTTTCTTGTTTCAACCATGAACCATCCCTATTTCACACGTTCAGTAGTACCATGAAGAGCACATATATATTGCTGTGTGTTTCTTTCACTGAAGAATTACACTTCAAACTAGTTAATCAATCAGGATCGATTAGTGATAAGAAGTCAGCTGGGGATGGGGATACAGGCACTTGTGGAAATGCCAGGTTATAGTAAGAGCCAACGTTCCCACACCTAGATCATGTCTTATCTAGGAGTCCATCACCTCTTCACTGAAAACCACAAGAAAGACATTAGTGGGTAAGCTAAGGATTTATTTCCTTTACAGTTTATTTTAAAATACATTTTTTTAAATGGGCAGATAGATAGATAATCTTTTTGTCCATGCAAATCTGTAATCCATTTTTAAACTGATGATGTGCACCAAATGCCAACGCACGTGGAGTTACCTCAAAGTTCTCCTCATGTAACCAAGCCAGAGGGCTCTTCCTTACACCGGAGCACTCGTCATGCTTTACTGTCCCCCCCGTCAGGTCACTTTTCATGTGCCAGGAGCACATGAGTGTGTCCACACGTTCAGATCCACCTCAGCCACTTGTACCCTTTTATAGACCCACAGCTTCCGTTATCGCAAGGAGTATCGGATGTTGTCAGGATACTGATCTTTACCTCTCATCCAGTCAAAATACTTCTGGCTTGCCGGAAGTCCTGCATAAGCACAGAATAG